GCTGTTATGGAGCATAAACTGGTTCAATGACTTTCCCCATAATTTGGGGATCAGAACAAATACATGATCTTTGCAAAAAATAAACAAAACTGCCTGGAAGTATATTTTAATAACAAGAACTTTGTAGGACACATGCAGGAGAAAGTGTGGAGGGGGAAATAGCCTCTATATAGCATGGCAGAAAGGCCTTAGTGTTGTTAGTGGTTACATCTTCCAAGTAGTATTACTGATCATGAAAATTCCTGTCTGCACATAAGCTATTGCCTAGTCTGTTTGATTAACTGAAAACAGATGTTACTTTTTTTTCACAAGGAATAACATTTAAATTTCAAGAGAGTTAACACTATCATATAGTAAAATGTAAATGTCAAAAGTATACCAATATTGCCAGATTAATAATAGCATTGCAGTTTTACCTTTAATTTTATGCATTTTTTTTCCTCTGGGTCAATTTTATTTTTGCTTAACATTGTGCAGGAAAACATCTGCTCCTAAACCTGTGCAGCAAAGCACTGACCAGCTGTCACATACCAGCATCTCATTAGCCAGTGCTAATGAGGTGGGGAAGAGTATTGAAGGAATTGCAGAGAATGAAGAATCACTATTGCCAATGATAGTGGGAAACAGCTTCATCGATGCTAAGGTACTGTGAGCTTAACGCATTGCCAAAACTGAGATCTTTCATTGTAATTCATCACTATTACTTATGATTTCTTACCAAACTTATCTAAACTACAAACTAATGGCAACTTTATTAATGTGACAGGCACAAGCGTAGCAACCCCACAGTCAAATTTTCAAGACTCATTTTCAAGTTCAGCCAGAGATCTACTTTAATACATTTGTCTTACCCTGTGCTCTGCAGATTGCCAAGTTTGCCGCTGGCACAGTGTCAAAGGATAAACACTCCATAGGCTCGCAGCTGTTCGGAGGTCCCTGCTGGCCCAAAGATTTTCTATTATAACACCAGGAAATAGATGAGGGCCCTTTTCAGCACCTAGACAAGTTAATGCTTCACTCTAGTCAAGTATGGCACTAAACAGATAATGAAAGAAAATATCATCTTTTCTTTATTTTTTTAGTAAGATAATATCTTTTGTAAACTTGTACTTGTTCAAATTGTAATATAATCTAGATGACAGGATGTGTCAGTGGATCTGTAGTCCCTTCCTGTAGAATCTCACAGTCCAAGTGTTCAGTCTGATAAAAACGCAAGTCTGCCCTACATGCAGACTTAGTGATTTGAGGCATATTCCATATACATTGCAAACCTGAAGGGAGCTGTTCCCTGGGGATATTTGAAAGAACTGGAAATTTGTGGAAAAGAACCCCAGTGGAAACACAAACCCTGTGTCAGTAAATGGTCACATCGTAAGTAGCAGAGTAGGAGCAGTGGTGGAGGGCATGTTTCGGTAGGGCATGCCCTACCCCTTGCATCTGCCCTGTGCATTTGCCAGGTTGAATAGATCTGGTCTTCTAATCGCTTTAAGCAGTAGAAAAACACTGAATCAGTATGAATACACAAAAACTGTCCGAGCTGTGAGATTTCCCTTGTCTCTCTTTTGAGCTTGGAGCTGATGGGTAGGAATAAAAAATATTTTCATATATCTTAGATGTTTAGTTTGCTTTCTTTCTCTATTGTAGGGAGGATCTGATCTGATTATCAACAGCTATGGGCCTGTCACAAAGGCCAGCTGCAAGAAAAGGTGGCTGTTCTTCCCAGATATGAAGAAGGTGAAAACAGAGGAGGTAACTGGTCCAGGCAGAGTTTCCTCCTGAGTTTGTAAAGAGGAATCTTAGTTTTCTATTTATTGAAAAGTAGAATTAGCCACCTAAACTTTAATGGATGGTTTCAGTGGCATTAAGATTGATGTAGCAAAGTCTTCTAGCAAAATCATGTGAAGAAGTTTTTCATTTCCTGCCACATGTTGTCAGATATTGTAGCTTTTCACAGTTAGCTGATTGCCTGTGCTCTCTCAGTGAGCAAAAGGATTCCTGTATACATCTGCAGGGGCTCAATATACATATGGGTTGAACATATATTTCTAAAAACAAATTAAACAGAAACATATGAAGACTCCCCCACTACTGTGACAACTATAACCCTAAGTTTGTCGAAGAAAAAACAAAAGAGTGAAATGAAATGATTAACACAAACTATCGAAGGATTTTGGAATCTGAGCAAAAAGTGTCTGGCTTCTGAAACTGTTGATCTGGCTGAACCTGCTATTTGCATGAAAAATACAGCAGCTTAAAAATGAAGTGTTAAACCAAATCCTGAACATTGTCATGCAAATTCACACCCACTAGGCATCTAAAATATGTTTATTGAATTGTAACTTGTATTGTACTCTTGTATATTTAAGCAATAGGAAGCCTTGCTATTCATGCTGTGAATTCATATTTCAAAATATTTGCAGGAGCATCTGTGTATTTCCAGTGCCTCTCTGAACAAAATATTTTCTATCATCCAAGAAGTAATGCCTAAAGAATATGTATGAGGAGATGGAAGAGAGCTCTACGCAAGTGTGTTTTTAAAATACCAGACAGGTCTCTCTAGTGAAATCATTCTTGGTTAGCCATGCTTGGCTGGAAGGGATTATTTTGTCTAGCGTGAAAGAGAAAAGTATAAGCAAGACTTGAGACTGATTCTTTTTATCTTCATGTAGGAAAGCCCAAATTGCTCTTCCAAGGCAATGTTGTTGCAGGCCCTCTGGCACATATACGTTAGGCAGTGCAGTGAAAACTCAAATGATGGCGCAGGTTTACAGAGATGGAACAGCCTTTTTCTCTCCTCTTTTTCAGCCTCAGGGAAGATTTGCCCAGGCAGTGTGTCTGTACCAGCCAGGCACCACTGTGCTGATCAGCGAGGATGACTCCCCCAGCTCCCGCGGCCAGCAGTCGAATTTCCAGGTGCCATTCAGTGTTGTTGCTGATACAGAACATTCAGCCAACAGCGAAGGAAGCCACGAGACCGGAGACTCTGGGAGATTCTCTCACGAATCCAACGATGAGATCCACCTCTCTGCTGTGACTGGCAACACCCCTCCCACCACCGCTCCTTTTGAAGGCAGTGACTCGGGCACGAACGTGATGAACCCTGCTTTAAGCAACTGCAAAGAGTGTCCCCTGCCATTCGCTGCTGACCAGCCGCCTACCTCACCTCTTCAGATACAGTCTGCAGTGCACAACTGACGTCCGTAGGCCCTGCCAAGCATTCTCGCAGGATGTGTCTGTTCGAAGGACAATGAACAGGAAGCCAAAGCTTTTTGTGGGGAGCCTGACTAATCTAGCAGGTGATCCCATATTTCTGTTGAATGTTTCCTTCCTTTTTTTGTTTGTTTGTTTGTTTTTAAAACTCACTCATTTTGAATGTTCAGTGGTGAACAAATATGAAAGGACAGTGAAGATTTCTGACTAGAGTTAAAAATGTATCACTGGAGCAAAGGGAAGGCTGCTGGCCTTTTTGCTGACTATCTACCTCAGTTTGCCGAGAGGTGAACTCTGAATGATAACTGCTTTACCTCATCTGTGTTCTAGTTCATCTCAGCTGTGGAACTGATGATACTTCCTAGTAGTGTTGCTTTAGTTTGAATTTCTTTCTTTGGATGCTGTGTGTAGAGTGTGTGTGTGTATGTGTGTGTGTGCGCGCGTGTGCGCACAGTGATCAGGGAGTTGTATAGGTAGATGAACGAGATTGTTTAGCTGAAGCTCTGTCTTTAAAAAGAAGGAAACCTCGGAGTATAAAATGCAATGATGGCTGTCTCAGAGGAAGTTAAAAACTGGGAAAACAGGGGTTGGTGCTTTCAAATATACAGCCGCATCAAATCTTTTGTATCTTTTGGCCTCTCATAGCCCCAGTAAGCCTAGGACAGTGCCTTTCCCCCTAAAACTTGTGCCAGCGACTCCTTAGGGCTCTGGGGACATGTTGACTTCCCCCAAACGACAAGACATTGCCTCTGTTGAGAGTTAATGCTAAAAAGCATGGCAAAATGAAGAAGTATTTAGCATTTCCAGCCAGCTCGTCTCTGCCTGAGAGTCATGGACTAGACAGTAGGGCTGAGTATTCCACTATCTCAGTACTTCTTGGCAACAGTGCCTTGAGTTAGAGATTATGAAATTATTGATTTGCCTTTTTAGTATTCATTAAGTTGCTTTAGAGTACAGAAGGATGCCTTAAATGCTTCTTAGCTGTTACCGGGTGAACTGTATGGTGAGCCGGTGCCCAGCGGCACAGGTCCTGCGAGCGCTGCCGCGTGTCCCAGCCCCGCCGTTAGGCCGCGGCGCCGCCGCTCGCCTTGGCCTGCTCTGCCCTCAGCCAGGCCGCGGCGCTCAGGGAGTCCCCCGACCATGAGCCAACCCACAACTCTGATGAGTCTCCCATGAGAAACAGAAAGTCAGAGCTTTAGCTGAAGAGTCTGTTGAAGGAGGTGAGTATTGCTACTGCCTCACACCCATACAATTCCTGTTTTATACTACCTCCTTTAAAAGATATTCTAGTGTTTTTATTCCTTTTTTTTTTCCTGTACTCAGGGAACAGTATGTTACTTTTGAGCTGCGTCACGGAAACGTGGAGCAAACTTGACAGGGTATCTTGTTTTGTTTTTTAACAGGAGAGAAAGAGGAGGCTAGATTCATCTAATGTTATATACTTGCCCATATCCATAGAGAGTCCTGTTCTCGCCTCCTCCTCTTTCCCCATTTTACTTTAAAAATAAAATAAAAATATAAAAAGAAAGTTCAAAGCTTGATGTTTTGACAAAGCAACCGTAGGAACTCCTGGCTCCATTTAAGTCTGTCAGAATTCCCACTGACTTAACTGGGGCCAAGATGTCCCCATTAGGGTAGGCAGTCTGGCTTTTGTATCATCCCTTCTGCATCAAAGGTGATCAGAAGTCATCAGTAAGCCCTACTGTTTTGTCTGTTTTATTTTGGTGAATCAGCCTGTAGTTACTGTAGATGTTCAGCTTATAACTGTTTGCTAGTTCCAAGCCAGACAGTCCATGTCCACCTCTTCATACTAGTGTTGATTCAGAGACTTTAAAAGTAATCTTGTACCAAAGAATTTTCTGTAGCAGATGCGTATTTTCCAAAAATGACTGAACTAGTTAAAAACTATAGGTTTGAAGAGCTGAATATTTTTTATTGTATTAGTAGTTACTAACCCAAAACAATAGGGCTCCTATTGATCGTAGCAGTCGAGTGCATAGATGAGCTGTGTGCTTCTACAATTGTTAACAAGAGCCTTTAAAAAAAGCTATAATAATACCAGCAGATATCTCCAAAGACTTCCGAGTGTAATTCTTTTCTTCAGCATGTAGTTGATCAGTAATACAGTATTAAATAAAATATTTTTGAACAGTTTTTATCTACTTGCTGAAGAAAAAGAAAACTTTTTCACCAAAGATTTATTTTTGGTCTCATCAGGCAAAATGTTTAGTGTACAGCAGAGAACTGTTTCTAGTTAGGTAAAAGTGTGAATTAATGGAAACTAGATTAAGAATGTAACTGTAGCATGAAGTTTCACACTTCATCTTTCTGATTAGCCTCTTTTATTAGTTTCATTCAGAAAGAGCTGATGGTAACTATTTGCTTCTCCAAAGACTTGTTTGCTGTGAGTACTGAGAACTTGATTTAACAATCGATTAAACTGGTTTGTAATTTCTGCCCTACATTGCAGGCAATATTCCAAATCCTAAACATTTTTTTCATGATAGAGATACACCTTGTAGTTTAATCTGTGAATAAGTTGAATTTCATGTAACATGGGTCTAATCGATGCTCTACCTTCAATAGTCAAAGATCAAAGTATTCTATTTATTAAAGAACAGCACATCAGTCAGTTGATGTTTTTTTTTTCCTTAAAGTACTTTCTAACAGCAAATAAAGAAAACCAAAGATATTTAAGGTTACCTCAGCATATAGGCAAGCCTAGTTAGACATTAATTATTCTGTTTCTTTTTTTTTAATTTTTATGTTAAACAAATATAATGTTCCACAAATATAATACGTTTCTTCAGAACCCCGTTCACATTCATAAGCTTCCCATTTATTTGTCATGCAGTTATTTCTAGATGTATTTTGATTTTTCTTCCAGAACAAAAAAATATGATCTAATCAAAGATTTGCAGCCCATTGTTAATTTTTCACAATATTTGCAAAAAAAGCATCTTATCATTGAGAAGACAACCAGTGTGAGCAAAGAAACCTCCAGAAAAAAATATATAATTTGATATTGTCTCTGCTGAGCTCAGTAGCAGAATTCCTCATGATTGAAACACTGCAAAATCTGACTTGAAGTGTAGATGACTTATGTCATTGAGGTGAAAGCATCAAATAACAGGTATGATATTAATGCATGAAGTTTCTTAAGTCATACCTGTTGCAGCCTAGGAAATCCCAGGTTTTTATGTGTAAACTTCATTCATTCCATTTGTCTAGGAAGAGCCGGCAGCACAGCAGGCAAAATGGGTACAGGTTTTCCAGTAATTTTTCTTGGTTATGTCTGTGGTCACTGGGTCCTGGAGAAAGCTTTATCATTTTTTAATTATGAATTTTACTAAATATGTTCTGGAAGATGAACATAAATATGGAATTTAGTGTTACACTATGTTAATTGATTTTGTTTAATTGTTTTAAGAATGAAAGAGCCATGGTTGGTGTAATGAGCGTATATGTAACCCCTGTATTTAAAAACAAGAGAAAATGTTACTGTTGATGTGACTTGAAAAGCATAAAACCTTACAGAGGAGATCTGGAAACTGGCTTTCTAGGTTCCCTGTGTTGCCCTTCCCATGCATCAGCAGCGCCCGCTCTGCGGGACGCGCAGCGGAGCCAGACGCCCCGTCTGCGCAGTCACACTCCTCACAAGGAAATAACATTCCCATCTCTCAGCAGTTATCCGGGATAACTGGGAATGTCTATGCCACTCAGAACTTGGCTATATCAGTAGATTTTTTTAATAGCTCTGTTCTTAAAAAGAAACTTGAAAGTCTACATATCGCTTAATAACTTTCCATATTAATTGACCATTTTCTGTCAAATTTATTGGATGTTAACAGAAAAAAAGTACTAAGATATTCCCATGCCTGTTTTTATTATATTTAATACTTCCCACTTTAGTTTTATCCCTTGTTTTAGACCAGGAGCTAAATCTTGTTTAGCTTCTTCAAACTGGGGTCCTTATCCTTTATCTTTTAAAGTCAGTGGGAGATTTCACTTTCATTTCTGTGATGAGATTCACATGGGATTCTGCTGATTTCAGTTTGCATGATCTAGCCAAAAAAAATCAGCTATCACTTTTTTTTTTCTTTTAAAGATCTTCTCAGCATTTTACTACTGGTAAAGGACAGAATTTCTAACTGTTAGAATTCCTATTAGCAAACAGGTTTTTGCAGAACAGCAAGTTACCACGCAGCAGGAGCCCACTGTAACTCTGCATGCATGCAGCCTACAGCCAATACTGAGTATTTCAAGGCAGTTTAACTCTGCTTTTAGTGCAAGCTAACTCAGATTGAACTACTTAACATTTGCTGCAGCTTGATCATGCGCAAGAATAATTATGATGGACTGTCTGAGTCTCAGTAATATGTTAATCTAAAGCAGTTTTTGAGCCCTGAGCAAGAGCAGGGCTTTTGCCCTTTGTTAAAGAGTGAAGTTCTGGCAGAACAGGTTCCTTTCCTAACAAGGGGGCCGCTTTTCAGTTCTGCAGGGCGCTGTGTGTTCAGCCCTAAACCTCCTTGCGACCAGTTGAAGAGATAGCTGTGCAGATGTAGCTCTGGTGATGTTCCACACAAGTCAATTTGCTGGATCTGCTCTGTTAAAATGGAAAAGCAGAATTTCACCCAGTATGTGCTAAGGGTACTTGTAAATTCCTGTCAGGCGGCGCCTCTTTTGTTCTGACTTGCTGGATTACAGCACTGCCAATGCACAGTAATTCCTAATGGTACAGATTAATTCCTAATGGAGACGTATTTGACTGTCTCCCGGAAATACTAAGCGCTTTTTTATAGTAACATAATTACAAATACACTTTTCATTAAAGCACATATTTTGGAGGCAGGGTTTAAAAGCACTATTCTTCAACCTGAGTCCAAAATCCAAACCACCTCATGTTAAAATAATCCCTTTTTGTTAATATAACCATTTTACAGAACCACAAATGCAATTTGGGTAAAGTTCTGCTCTCAGTCCTGATATAAATGAAGTTTAACCTTATTTCTGTGGAATTTTTCTAGATTTACACTACAACTTTGCCTAATTTACTCCAAGGGGACATAAGCTCATGCTTGATGTTTTGCTGCATCAGGCCCTCTGGTTCCACTGTGAGTTGAGCTCATTATGGAATTGCTCAGGCTCTCCCATGTTACATGTACTTGCATTGCATCTGCCTGGTGTGTTCTCAGTAAAGACTGAAAAGTATATGAAAAACTTATAAAAATGTTGCTTTTTGGTTGTTTGCCTTTTGTGTTTTAAGTGGTGAATGAATTGCCAGTGTGGGAGCCAGGTGTGTATCTCATACTGTGGTGGTCTGGATCCTTTCACTCCGTGTGCCATTTCCCTCTAAGGGCGGCAGTGGCCGACCGGCTGATGGAGGATGGAGCTGAATTGTATTAATTTTATATTTGTCTCAGGGGATCAGCTCCGTGAATTCCATTGCATGAGGAAGGCTAATGTTTGCCCTGATTTGAATGTAACTTTTTAATGTCTTTTAAAAATATATTTTGTTTAATAATGTGGATTTGTTTTTCTCTTTATAGCATTTTAGTGAATGTTATCTAGTGTGTTGGTTCTTTTTTTTCCCCTCCAGGGTTGTTTATATGCTACCCCAAGGTCATGCCAAAAATTAATAGAAGTTTAAATGCCAAATGTTTATGAAACTGCTGTCTGGATACTGATTGATTGCACAGTTTAAATAAAAGTTTTCCTTAGTAAAAGTGCGTCTTTAAAAGAATTTCATTTTAGTGTCTCTAATAGCTCAAAACAAGGAAGCTGTAGTAAATGGCTTTCAGGAGGAAGCAGCACCTGCCTTGCAGTGTTGGGTCTATGAAAATGTGCAGTTTTGCTGCGTCCATTCCCAGCTGCCTTCTGAAACCCCGTATCTTCCTTGGCAAGTCATGGCCGAGGTTCACCCTCCCTGCCCAGCACTCGGGTAGAACTGGTTTGTATCGTTTTCAAGCGTGAGGGTTGCCTTGCAGATGCAGAAGCGCACCATGGCAGCGGCACTGTGATTTGATGAGCCAGGGGCTCTGGGGAGGCAGCATCAACACGCAGAGAAACATTCCCTGGAGAACCGGTGCCTCGTGGCAGTGCCGGTGCGCAGAGGTTTCCTGTGCGTCTCCAGGGATAAGAAGTGCAGGTCCCTTACGGGGCAGCTGCCGCAGCTGCCTCCAGTCAGGGCATGAGCCTTTCCGCTCAGGTGCAGCTTCTGCTGCTGAATTGGGCTCCCTGGATTCTACACTAAAAACATGGTGTCTTCCTTACCTTTTAAAATCAGAGAAGACAAAGGAAATCTAAAAAGCCTCCTGCTGCTGCTTTATGAATCAGGGCTGCTCTTATCTGTAGAGTCTGCTTAGGAAACAGTTCTGCGCAGTGGGTAGCTTGTGTGGCCGTTATCCCTGGGAGTATTACAGAACCAGTTGGAGTGTCTATTTGTAAACAAACTCTAAACCAAAATTTCTTCTGTGTGTATATGTGAATAAACGCACAATGAAATACATTTTTTCAGAGGTAATTGAGAAAATGTGGCCCCTGCTGAAAAAAATAATCTTAGCAGTGCACTTATAAAAATGAATAAATGTTAAATATAACAGATGTGTTATATTTAAAGGCATAATGAAGCTTATCTAACAGCTGGGGAGCAATCAGCCTTGGACCATCCAGTGACATGAAACATCTACTAATGCCGTCTACCAAAGATGCTGATCTTTTTCTAAGAACAGCAGCAACCACCTGCAGTTCTTGATTATGTTAGTGCTGATTAGTACAGCTACATTTCTGCACTCTAGAATCTTCATTAGCAATAAATAAATAATAACTTACATCTCAAGGAGTCATCATTTCAAAGAAAAGCTTCAAAGTGAAGCCTTGGTCTGTGACCCGATGCGGTGCCACCCGCTTGCAGTCTGCCACCAGACAGGTGACCTCTCCCATTCAGCTCTGCGGGCCACTTCTACTGCATGTCCACATTAACTGACATGATAAAGTTATTTCTTTGTTCAGTTTATCAGGGGCATCAAGCTACTGTTTTCATTAGCTTTTTTTTTGTTTTTGGGAAAATAGCTTGAGAGCACAAAGACCAACCCTGTGCCACACGCTGCGGGTTGCTCAGCCCCCGGCAGGGCAGGGACGCGCGAGGGGCAGGATGGCGGCAGGTGAAACGCCCTCGTGCTAGGCCGGGTGAGCAGCAGTTGCTCGTGGGTGGACTCTCCACTTCGTCGCTTTGTCCTTATCCTTTCACTCAGCAGATAAAAGCGACTTCTGTCACGAAGCAGAGTCACAGGGACTGGCTGTCTCTGCACAGGGTACCAGGCCTTAGTGGTGCTGCGTGCCCCAAGGCCTAAAGTGATGGCAAATATGACTAAAACCAGCCTGGTTCTCCTACAAATCTGGTGCTCTGGCAACTGCAGGTGTGAAATTTCCTTTGAATCTAAAGACAGGCTGTTAGTTACCTCTGTTTTCCTTACATTTATTCCTTATTCTTCTGAAAATTTACATGTAAATCTAACTAGGTTTTCTGTTTGGGTATACATAAACAGTTGTCATCCGCAGGATGGTAACACTTGTTATCGTATCTTAATTCTAACAACTCTTCACCCAGCGGTGAAGAGGATGGGATTTTAACAGCCCTCACGTGTCTGCCCACAAGCATGTCAGGTAAGCAAAGCTCAGGCTTGACAGAGAGACACTCCAGTGTTTGTGGCTGAAAGCTCAGGCTTACTTTTCTTTAGCTTTCTTTAAATACTGTTATGGATTAGACTATTGCTTGTAGATTATAGTGATTTACACCAGAATGCATGTAGAAAGCTATGTAGAACATGCAAATAATTCAGCATCTAGCTGTATCTCACTGAAAGATGAAATGCACCGACACCCTTCGTCGAAAAGACCTGCGCTCTAGCAAGATCTGTGCTCTTGCTAGATCTCTAGCAAGAGTTCTGGGGCTAGCAAGGGTTTGGGTGTCAGCTGCTCTGTGAGAGACTTCTGCCTTTACTGTCATGGTAATGACAGCTATTTGGGGCACGCAATCTTGGTATGGCCTTGTTGAAGCTTCTAACATCAGCATTGTAGTGAGAGGTGCCATGAATCCCTGTTTGGCTACCAGAACCATTCGCGATTGGTGATGCTTTTCAGCAAAGTTGTTGGATTTCCTCAGGATTTCTCTGGAGAGATTGCGCACGCAACCAGAAGATGAACAAGGCTCCAGACAGGTGCAGGGGATGTTGCGTTCTCTGATCTTCTGTAGTTTTGAAGAAGGAAAGTGATTTTTGTGGGTGACTGAGAAGGTGTTTCCTATTATACTGCTGTGGATGAAGTGTGAAACCAAGACCCAAAGCTCTGGATTATGCTTTACTTGGAAATAAAGACTGGGAACTCCCCAAAGGTCATGTTAACAGAATGGTTTTGACTCTCCTCCTAGCTGCATGGCAGTATATTGAGAAAGAAAAAAAAAAGAAGAAGAGATCTTCATGAGCAAAGTGAGCAAAGCAGCAGCAGATTTCTGGCTGGGCTGCTGGGCTGTGGCACCACAGGAAAGCAGAGAAGGTGCTGCTGTCACTACAGCCTGTAACAGTGCAGGGTGCGCTAGGAAATGAATTCTCTGCTTTGCTGGTGGTCAGCACCGGGATAAAAGCGGCAGAGGTTAAAGCATGCTGGCTCCTCGCTTCTTGCTGTTTTTAGTGATATTAGCTGAAATCATTCCCACTCAGCTGCTTGCTCACAGCCTTCCTTATGTTAGGTTATACAATTTAATTGGAAGTAAGATAGTTTACAGCAGATTGTGAAGTAAAAATACAAATGATTTCCATTAAAATGACATCATTTGTGTTAGCAACCATCATACTTTGGAATAGATTCTGAATATTTAAGAGTCAATAACAGCTTGCTTAGTCGCTATCTAATAAAACAATCTGGCTTTGCTTTGCACAAAGCCCACAGAGCTGAGGCAGAATGAATTACTTGAAGATTTCCAGCTTCAAAGAGCAAGTTAACCCCAAGCTGGAGTTCTAAGTATTTCAATTAAAATGCTTCTACAAAATGAAAAGCAAGACAACCTTTAGTTTGTAAAAGAACAGAATTCTGATACTGGCTTTTACGACACTTCACATAGGAATGACTATGTTAAAGTGCAAAGTGCCCTCTTTTTAGTACTCCACCTCCCGCATTGTCATCTACTGTGGTAAGATAAAAAGTGGTGAAGAGGCTCTGGGAATGGGGAGTCCCTGCAGCACGGCCTAGCTCTAGGCAGCGGGTCAGAACCCAGGTCTACCCCAGGAGCAGGCTGAGCGGTTCCTGCGCGGCCGCTTCGGAGGCCGGGCCCCGGCCGTGCCCTGTGGGCAGCGTGCGCTGCCTGGAGCCCCGTCCCGTGGCTCTGGAACCGCAGCGCGAGCGCTCGGGGGGCGGCTGTAGCGTAGTCCTCTTCCAAGAGGAGCCTGCTGCAGCCTGCTGCAGTGTTCAACAGGGTTTTGAGGGGTTTTCACGGTGCTTCTCTTCCGTAGCCCACCGAGGTCAAGGCTCCCAGGCCGGCCCTGCAGATGGCCAAATGGCAGGATTCTTCTAGAAGAAGTGCAGCTCCCTGAATCCTCTACCCTGCACATTGCAGATTTCAAATTGTACCCATTAGGCATAATGCATGTCAAGCTAGTTAATCCAGTCTGGTGTTTACAGGCAGATAGCGCATATATTTAAAATAATTAGTTCCACATTCATTTTTTTAAATCCTGGATTTCCTGTGAATTTTCATCCAGGGATTAGGGAAGCTGCTCTCAGATGCAATGGATGAATGTGGCATCTATGTAACTAGGTCACACTGTACTTCGGTATATTTAGTTATTTGTTTTTGTGTTCTTCCCCACTTTTCCTATAGAATAAACAAATGACGTAACTAAGTTTGATTCCTAATTTCCTTGTAAAGGATGGCAGAATTCTGAGATTTCATAGTGGGCTTTTTAGTGCATTTTTAAACTGCGTGTTAATGATACATTTTCTTTCTTATAGAAGATTATTTTCTTGTTGCTTTAGCTGCCTTTTCCTTTAATAGTCCACAAATCCCAAAATTCAGACACTAGCTGGTTTCTGCTTCTTCCCAGCAGATCTCCTATTACTCATTGTTACTTGTTCAAAGTAGATTTCAGGGTGTTTGCTACTGTATTCCAATAAACATCAGCCTTAAAAAAATTAAATTAACTTATAATTGCTAAAACAAATTGTGTAGCACATACTGTCATGCACTAGTTGACTGTCTTCTAACTACCTTTCCTTCTTTACCTGCTTGTTGTGGAAATGCTCGGTAATCGTTGCACATATATGAGATCTCATAATAATAATATATGTAACATTAATGACATTTTTGTACTAAGATTTTGATTCTGGTTGCTGCTTTAATAATACAGCTGGCATCTGGGCATCCTGCTCTTCCCTCTGGATGGAGGACAAGGCAATTGGTACCATTTATCTGATGTGACTGCAAAGCCGTTCCTCTTGATGGACACATTTTTGCTAAAATTTGCCCCCATGCTCAACTCTTTACCCATATCCTTCCCACAGAGATCACATGCACCATCATCCCTAAAGCGGGAGAGGCCAAGCAGCAGGCAAGATTAATACAGCGGTTCTCAAAGAGAAACCAGAGCAGTAACATCAGACACGGCTGGTGTCTAAATCTAAGGTTGGAGGGTTGTAACCCTGAGCTGAGCAGCAGTGTTTTGTTTCACTGCTAACACTTGTTGGTTCCAACAGAAGATACTGGATGGCAAGTCAGTGGGTTCAATCTATTCCTTGGTGCGTTCCGTGCCCCGGATACAAACTCTGTAACGCTTAGCAAAGTCATTAGGTCTGGAGCCAACAGCTCATTCATAACCAGTTATTTCAAAGTCAGTGTGGCCTTCGCAGAAAACCAGGAAAGGCTCCAGAGAGAACTGAGTAAGTGCAGAAAATAAAAAACTTGCTTTGCATCAAATCATGGTAAGCAGGAAAATGGAAAGGATTAAAGTTGATAATCCAGAAAGAGTAAGAAATTGCATTTCTTTCATTTCCCCACAGAGTGTCCCCATTCCACTGCTCACTGCTCAACAGGAGGACACTTCGAGTAGGGAAATAATTCATGTTAAAGAACACCCTACAAAAATTTGTTAACAGTATCTCTTTCTCTTTTTAAAATATATTACCTTGATAGCCTTAACATGACAAAACTGAAAGTTCAATTTTACTTATCCTATAGGAAGAGGAGAAAGAAATATGTTCTTTGATGACAAGAAGATCAAATGAGTTCTTTGAGCACATATATAAATCCACTGGATTTGTCAAAACTTTTGTACTTATACTAAAGTACTATATTTCATACTAAATAATCAGATGTCCTTCTTCATATTGTAAATATTTAGGTTCTATATTTATTAATCTTTAACATACTGGTGAGAAAATCTTATAGTTTTAAAACGCTGGATAAATTTTAGGAGGTTTATCTGTCATGCATTGCACTGCAAAGTACTGTTGGCAAGAGTGTCTAAGCAGATTGAAACCTTTTTCCTTCAAATGCTTCCATGTTGTTTTATAACTGTCAAAAAATAAATAAATAAAATAATAAACAAAAAGAATGCAGTTGGCCATGCTGAGTTTAACAACTGCCCAATAATTTAACTAACTCCAGTATTGATATGACATTAGGATGCTCTTAGTACACATTTTGGGGACTGTTTTTTGATCAGTATGTGAATAATTTGTCTCAGGAGGTTTAGAAGAATGCATCATCAGCCAGTGATTTGCTATGTTGTTAGACAAAGGCATGATCATTTGCAAGCTTTTAACTCGATATCAGCTACATAATGTATAAGATGGAAGAAAACTAATGCAATTGGCTAGGGAAAAGCCTACATTCTTTCATTCTTTCATCGAATAATTGGTAAAACATTCTGTTCTTTGCTTTTTTTTTTCCTACAAATAGTTTTGTATTCATTTTGGATTAATGTTGAAACCTGATTATATTTTGTTTTGCACTTTGTATTATGCAGATGATTGCTTAATGCAAAAGTTCAGACAGTCTTAATTTTTGTTGATTAAAAGCAGAAATGAAACAGACGTCAGCTTGTGAGACCTGGTTTGCATCAGGCTAACAGCTGTATCATTCACCAGCAGGCAGTTTGCACTGAAATAGCTC